CAACAACCACGTCTTAGTCATATTCCATTTCTTACCAATGGCTATTGGTAAGACCTATTAGCACTATGTTTCAATTTCAAGGAAATCAAAAAACCATATTATCATCATTTCAAAAATTACTGAAAATTACACTGCCATGAGCTACAAATATATATATCTCAATAACGAAGTCATAGAATTTCTTCAAGCTCACTAAAGAGGCTAGATATCGCCTCAAAAGCATTATGCTAAAATGAAAAATACCTATAGGCCATGGTTGTTGAGATATAAAGCTGTAATTTATCGCATTTACTATGGTGTTTTGGGGTGGGCGGCTCGCTTGGGTGGGCGGCTCGCATGTGAAATACGTTACCTCAGTTACCTCAGCCGCACCCTCAAAAAGGTCGGTAATCCACCGCCTGCTGTTTCAGCGATGCGACTCAGGCCTTTTGCAATCCGATTAGGTTTAGCGTGACAAAGATCCGGCAGAATTATTGGATCATGTGATAAGGTCTGAGGGTACCTGTACTGAAGTAACGTAATTCACTACACTACCGAGCTGGACACCCCACCTAACCTATCAATTTTAAATGCATTTATCTTAACCAAAACGCCATCAAATTTAATAAGCTAAAAAAGAGGTCTATCTGGACATGCATTTCTTTATGACCCTCATTTCCACATGCTCCACACTTCGGTAAGGCCCTCGTACGTGGCTGTAAAGGTGCCGGAGGCGGTCTTGCCTCACGGGACACTTGTGCTAAAATTGCCTGTTCTGGCTGCATTGCTAAGGTAGAGGCTGCCGTGTGGGATTCGGCACGTCATGTTGTGTCTGGTAAGTATAGGTCATCTCAATTCTGCAACGATCAGGATGCTGATGATTACAGTCGAAACGAAGGAACTCTAGTCGCCTTGATTCGCCCACTCCAAGTCCTATCGTCGGATGCCGAGACACATTCTGTCCAAACGGCAAATGAACCATCTCCTGATGGAGAACCTACCACCGTCGGGATTTCGTCACCAAACGATCCTAGTCGGAGTCGGCCACGTCAGCGGTCGGTGGGAACCCCCGGGGTATCAGTCGAGCATAGTAGCCGCCGGCCCTCAGCCAGACTAGCGGGAGCTCATCTGCCGCGAGACTCTTCTACCGCTACGTCGCTTCGCCGGTCGGTACGACTGAATTCCCGCCGAACGTAGGTGGTCACAGTTTTCGCGTAGGCGTGACAGAAATGGACTTGAATTTTGAGAAGCGATCGTCAATCACTCGCTCGTGATGCTACTCGGCATTGGGGTATGCAAAGCAATCAATTGAGAGCATAGTCGTGATATAGAGAACCTCCAGTGAGATAGGAGTTTGGAGCCAGTAATGGTTCTAAACAAATGAAACACTGATCAATATAAATTCCACCGAGCCTTAGGCGACCGTTCCACCTTGTAACTGGCAGGTAGAATTTCACCCGATGTCAGGCACACACATGAAGCATATACGATGAGTGGAGGATGATCGTTATGGCGGACCCACATAGTGTATCTGGGTTCCCCTGAACGCGAGGAAGCTACCTTTCTTTAGCTTCCTCGCGCCACGTCTTGTATCTAGAGTCAACTATAGTTGTTCTTAATATTGATTATTCATCTCGAGACATTATCCATCTCTATGTATACGTGAGACCCTCACACAGCTTCTAGGAGCCACGTAGTCCCCGGGAAACCCAACATAACTTCTGGAATCTAGTACCCCCACCTCGGGGAATCAAAGCCGCGTTCCTGTTGACGACTCGGTTAATTCCTGGAGGCGTAAGTGCGGCTCCTGGGGCTATAGCTCGGCCTCCTAGGAGTGATCGAATGACGCAGAATTGTGCGCAGGTCTGGTGAAGGTGTCTTGTGAGAGCTTTCTGCGATCTCGGAAGGCAGTATAGTGACTCTAGGACCCTAAAGTAAGCCCCCAGGGGCTTCACAGAGGCCTCCAGGAGCAAGAGAGTTCCCAGGGCCAAGACAGTGTGTTCCTAGCACAGATAGAACCGCCGACAGGAACGTGACCGATTCTGGATAGTGACAATGGATAGTCCTACAAGCTACGTACGATTTGCTGTGGCTATGGTATTTCCTGAGTCTCCGTTTTGGTCGGCGGCCCGCAGATGTGTCCGATGTCTTCGGAGTAAACCAGCTCCTGGAATCACCCTGGGCTCCCAGAGTCTGCTATCTTTTTAATAAGGACGTTAGGTGCTCTTTGATTGGTCGGTCGCTGTATATACCCTACTAGTGCACTTCGTGGAAGAGCGTTTGACCCGGACGTGACGTTGTGGGTGAAGAAATACATAAATACATGCTTCCCGTCCAACCATTTCCATATCTTCTCTCCGTGATATCCTCCCACATATTCTCCCA